AACATAAACGTAAACATGAAATCGGCGGAAATTATGAAACTTGAGATACAATTCCACAACGACAATGTTGTACAGTTGTACCAATGTATCGTCCCCCTAACCAGAACATCTCTATATTTATCAACGAAATGGATCAAATGCTAAATGAAAATAAGCTGCAAAAACAAATAATATTGCTAGGCGATATAAATATAAACACAATGAAGAAGGGAGGCTCGTTCAAACATAATTACTACTGTAATTTACGATCATCATGCAATTTATGGATGTATAGACGAAAATAACTCCGAAAGAGCAAAACACATACAGGATACCCCGAAATATAAAATCATAAACAAAAAAGTGAATACCCAAATAAAAAATATAAATTGGCATGATATTATTACAACGTCTAACAACTCATCAGAACTTTATGACAACATATGTAATATTTTTAACAAAATATACAAAAACTCGAATGGCGCAGAAAATAAAATCAAGAAACGGAGACCATACCCATGGCTTTCTGAACAGTTACTGCAATCGTGTGACATAAGAGACAAATTGTATAAGAAATGGCATAAAAATAAAATAGCAAGACAAACGAACTTATATACAAACATTTTAATAATAAACTAAATAAGCAAATATCCAAAGCCAAAAATGATTTCATATACAATCAGTTTGTACAAAATAAAAATAATATAAGGGGAACATGGAAATTAATAAATCAAGTAACTGGTAAAAAACAAATAATGTAGACGATCAAATAAAACTAAATTTTTCTGGGAAAATATAAAGGAAATTGCTGATAAATTTGCTATAAACTTTAACCAAATGTGATGTATATCATACATTCTGTGATATAACAACTACAGAAACAAGTATTGAAAGAATTATTCCCAATTCTATGTATTTGGAATATGCAACAGAAATCGAAATAAACTCCATACTCAAAACATTAAATGTGCGAAAATGCACTGGAATAGACAATATTAGATCAATTGACATTAAAAACAACGCAAATATTATGACACCAATTATCACACAATTCGTTAATTCAACAATCAATGAAAGTTCTATACCTCAAATATTAAAAGAGTCCATAATTAGACCGATCTATAAAGCTGGTGATAAATCTGATTACACAAACTACAGACCAATATCAATACTGCCAATGCTAGAAAAGTCATGGAAGAGATTATCGTCAGAAGACTTAATGGTTTTTTAACCAAGTACAAAATAATAAGCAAAAGCCAGTATGGTTTCCAAAAAACAAAAACATAAACCAACTGCTTGGACATTTTTCCAACTACATAAACAACCAACTTGATCAACAAAGTAGTTGTATTGCGCTTTTTATTGATTTCAGCAAAGCGTTTGACACCCTACCCCATAAAAGATAATACAAGTTTTAGAAAAGTGTGGAATAAGAGGGATCTGTCTGAAATGGCTTAAGGACTATCTTACCTGCAGATCATTTAAAGTCCGAATCGATAACAAAACTAGCGATAAATTACCTTTACATTATGGAGTACCGCAAGGTTCGAAATTAGGGCCACTTCTTTATGTCATATACACAAATGAATGACACATATCTTAAAGAACAGCATATCATTCGCCTATGCAGATGACACAGCCATCATTGTATCAAATAAAGATATACAACAAGCAACACACACTTTGCAAAGGGAATTTAATACAATAACAAAATGGTGCCACGATAGTGGATTAATTATCAACCCCAACAAAACGAAATCATGCATATAAGGTCAAGAAGCATGCCAAAATGCGATATTCGAATTACATTTCATGACAATAATTGCCTACATACAAATGCTGCGAAAGAATCCACGAAAACTTGGAAAAATGCACAACGCAATTAAAACTTGTTGATGAATATAAATACTTAGGAGTACATTTGGATCATAACTTTAAATGGAAGATACATGTAGAAAACTACAAAAGAAACTTCGTAAATCAGCGTTCGCACTATATCACCTTGGTAATTGCGCACCATACCATGTTCTGAAGGTAGCTTATTACTCTTAGTTGAATCTCACCTAAGACATGGTATAACAGCATGGGGAAACGCGCGATGCTGTAAAGCACTACAGGACAGCCAAGATAGAATCGTCAAATCGATAAACAAAATAAATCCAACACAGACTCAAAGACACTCTCTCACTCATACAAACGCAATAAAACAAATTTACAAAACCCAAAACATATTTAACATAAATGAACTGTACTCAATATCTGTCGCCAATGAATTTGCAGATGATCCTAGCGTAGCCAAGAAACTAGACCATCAACAAAACACAAGAAGAAGAGCGGATGGATGTTACAAAGTACCAAAATTTTCAAATGAATATGGAAAATTCTCACTAGCCGTGACTCTCCCGAAGGTCCTTAATGAACTACCATCTGATGTTATTAAACTAAGAAATAAAAATGTTAGAATGAAAAATGTAAAAAAAATTATTAGAAATAAGTAATGGATCTCAATGATAATGAAGACTACAGCTGTGTTTTAGTATTAATGAAATTATATTTATATCCTACAGACAAGCCTATTTTTTGGCTTCGTAGGACAATGTAATGAAATTATTATAAATAAAGGAAGTCCCACGGGACAAAATAATAATAATAATAATAATAAAAATAAAATAAAAAAAATAAAATAGATAGATAGATAGATAGATAGATAGATAGATAGATGTACCAATGAGTTTTCGAAATTTCGTTTTTTTTTTTTCCATGAGAATCATAGTTGTATGGTATGTTTGTTATGTAAAAAAAATAAGTGTGCGAACTGTACTAAACGGCGATTAAGATGTGGCGTTAAAAGTACTTAAGTACAAGTGCCCTAAAAGTACTTAATAGTAGTATATGGGTCATAATTGTGTATTGGGTCAACTGATTGTGCTTGAAATCTGAATTTTGGTATTGGAGTTGCTGATTATGTGTAGCCTGGGTATATGGAGATGATTTCGTTAATGTGTGCTATAATTGTACAAAAAGTACTGAATGATACTACATTTGATATGTAGTGAAAGGATAGAGATAAAATTATGAAATTTGATATTTAGATTAGAGATGATATCTGTCGACTTTGACACTAAATGCTACCCTTTTGCTGTAGGCTCATAACCAGAGCAAACCATCTAATACCAAACGGCATACCCGACCCCGTGAACTGACCCAGATGGGGAGGCTTTACCAACGTCCAAAAAGTCATGTTTGGAAATAGGCCTTCTATAAAACCCAGAGCTAGTATTAACTTGAAATATCATGCAACACCATCTTCCCATGGAATATTTCTACCACGTTTCTATTGAAATCGGGGAGGTCAGCATCACAGATAAAACTGGGCATCCAATATTGAGAGGATGAGTCGGTTGAGATTGCTTCGTTGCACGAGTTAAATCAGGCAAATATTCTCGGACCTATTCATTTTTCATATTTTTTACAATTCGCCATTGATTACGAATATACATCAAATGGAGTTAAAAGTGTGCTGGTGTTTGCGTAGAATTGGAACAGCCAGGTAAAAAGTGGTTTGGCGTAAACAGATCAGGATCTTCAGGGCTAAAAGCCAAATGAGTCTGCGGCGAATGTTCTCGTAACATCACATTCGGTGCTCCCTGACCGATTGGACCAGACTTTCCCATGCACGACCATCACTGGAATTTCCCGGAGTATTAAACTTCCATTGCATTTCCAATGTTGAAAGGGACAAGGTTTAACTCCTTCTCAATCTCAACGAAATTAGTGCCGTTGTCGCTTCGCATTACCAAAGGCACACCTCTACGATTGATAAAATTCCATATGCATAATAAACAGCTATCACTGGAAAGATCGGCGGTTATCTCCAGGTGAACAAGGATTTCTTTTTTCACAGCCGACGTATAGTAACAGTCACTGATCCGAAGTAGTCTAGGCCAGTGTAATTGGATGGACGGACATATGGCGATACACAACATATTGGGAAAGACCCATCTGAGGCTGACATGGCTTCGCTCTTCGAATTCGGCAAAACTCACATCTTGACTGTATGCTGTGGAGTAAACGTACGTTGAGTACCCAAAATTGCACATGTGCTTCAGCATTGACTGTCGACTTATGTACCAAAATTTGCTATGATACGATTCAACAAGTAGACGTGTGAAAGGGTTGATTCGGCAGGATGATCGAATTTTTGGAATAGCTCGGCAGACATGTAGAATTCTTCTATTTGCTGTCCTTGCTCACATGACCATGTAGACCAATATCGGCAATTTCATCAGCATATACTTATTTATGTACATTTGGGCATATATATGTTTGACCAATACATCTTCTTCTGCTGAAAGTTTACCCTTTAATAGATCAACCTTTTGGCGTTTGCGACAAAAATTTTATTTGGTACCCATGGTATCTGGAACCACCGAATCACATTGACGACCCACGAGGACGACATGTTTTGATCTCAGCTCAGAGTCGTTGGTATCCAGAACGTTTTCAATATTACTTTCTAAAACCATTGAGATTCAGGAAGACTGGCCTGTTTTTCCACCATCCGTCTCATCGACTGGATTGCGGATAGCCATAATGTCCGCTTGCTAATATATGTAAATCAACTTTTCTGTTTAAAAATTCCTTAAGATAACACCGTGGAAATTCATCCAACATGTTTAATTCAGCTAACTATAACTTCAATCACTCCATAGCCGAATTCAATAATTTTTGCATAAATATTTTCGAAGAAACCACAAATTCACAAACAAATCCGAATGGGTCATAGATTAAAATGTTCAAAGAGAGCATCTTACGTTTTGTAGGAATCTTTGAAAAGCCTAAAATGGATTTATCAACTTTATGTAAACTCAAGCGGAAGCAGAAAACATCTGGATTTGGCAACCAGAGTATGCTAAAATCCTTTAAGCACAATTTTTATTAAAAAAACTCACCACGGTTTTCCACAATATTGAGTTACTCTATTGGATTTTGAAATAATATTTCTCAACACAAACCTCCAACACTAGCATGCGGTGACTCTATCACAAACATATTGGCATTCATATTTTTCACATATTGGGCTATAGTTGGCGAACAAGTTGCCAAATATCTTACATTGTAAAGTATAAGTGTCCACTCTTTTATTTTTATCTCCTTCTCAAAAGAAATCGTTGGCAATCTTGATCTTCTTTGACGATTTAGACTTGATGGAGCATTCCTTTTATATCCCCACAGACGGCTATTGGAACTCCACGAAATTTAAAAATAGTTGAAATTAAGGAATTGTTTATGTCTGGTCCACTTGAAAGGCACATATTCAACAACACATTCATCACTTCGGCTGCAGCATCAAACAAACAATCCTAATTCCTTCTAGGTTCGCATTATTAACAAATGGGGCGGATAAAAAACGCGTTGTGGACTTAAAGGTAATTCGTTCACATCAACTTTTCTGCAAGAGCACTTTGATATGTAGTCATTTATTTTCTCACAATATGCCCTGCCATAATCCCTATACCGGTCCATTTTATTTTCCACACTGCATCATCCAGTTCATTCGTTGCAATCAATTTTCGGTTCTATCTGCTGGAATTGTTGTTTATGACCCGAAGAAAGTTGCAACCAAAGACCGCGCTTCTCATATAAAAATGTGTGCCCCATTTTACTTTTTTCCGGATGTTGGGACATAAACAACAACGCCCAATCTTGTTGTGGTTAAAATTGATCCAGCGCCAAAAAGGCAGCGGGCACATTTAGCAGTGGATCTGTTAAAAAAGAAATGGGGTAAACTAATGATTGGTTTCACATTCGTGCAGTTACAAATTTTTTTCGACACATCAACATTATTTGTTACCCATTTTTCCAAATTACATGATTGAATGGGTAATGACAAATTTCGGAGTGATATATACATTTTTCATCACATATCTTCAGTCTTCTCTTCTCATACCACTTATTATTAGATCCACTACTTCAGAATCTTCCGTCATTGAATGCTTATTTAACCACTGTAGGGATAATTGTGTCTTGTTCCCGTTGAGTTTCAGGTCTTTGGCAATTCCCCTGTCTAGCATTGTTACATTTGCACCGTCATCTATGAAGGCATATGTGGTAATTATTTTACCTTTAGTGTACATCTAATGTTAAAACTGTTTACATTTTGTAATTGACCTACAGACCCCGTCGCACATAACACAATTATTGATGGCGACACAAGCATTATTGTGGCTGGGCTGTGTTGGTTGGCGGCGATTAGTGTTAGCAACTCGTCGTAATGTTTGCAACCATGCCCTGAAATCTAAAATAGAAGGCGATTCATTTAAATAAAGACATGGGGTGAAACCATCCCATTTGTCGGTTTATTGGTAATTTTGCCATGAGTTCACTCAGTGAAGATAGGTTGTGTTAAGTAAGTTCTCCTCCTGCGTTTTTGTTTTAAAAATTATGCTATATTTCATGGCGAAATTTATTAGGACATTCAAATCGTCATTAGGTAATGAGCTGCTTGGCAGAGCTTCCCAATAAAAGTTCAACTGTCTCTCGGGCTTTGCCTTTTAAAGCGTCTCTTAACGTCATAATATTCTGCAGGTTGCTGTACATAAACTCATTTGTGGTGCTGCAAAAGTACTCGGAAAATGTTGGACATTCTTCTGACAGCCCTGAAAATATTGGAAGATGATAAATTTCTTTTTAATTCGACGTAATTAGCGGTTTCCCTGTGTTGGCATGTATTGCATTACGGAAAAGCAAGAAAATCAGCGTTTGCGGTTTAAATTTTTTGCAAAGTAATTAAATAATGTGGTATTAAATAATTTCTATAGCAATGGGTAAGATCAAATCTGTACATACATATACACAAATAAAATTGTTAACGACAACCATTTTACTGGCTTCGTAAATAATATAATTATATAATGTATTAATGAACAATAAAGTCCTTGTGACAAAATAAAAAAATTAAAATTAAAGATTTTAAAGACTTTTTGGTGTGAAAGGTAAACATTTTTCCATTATTTTTTCGAAAAAGGAAAAAAATAATATATAAAAGCTTGAAGGTCTGAACATTTAGTACATTTCCGTCCATCTGAATCTACCACCTATGATAATTCTATATAAACTGTTTGGTACCAAAATAAAATTTTAATTGTCTCAATAATTTAAGTGTGTAGCCCAGTTATGAATAACAGCCTGTTCCACGATCTCGAAAGAAAATTTGTGCGAACGAAGGCTACTCACTCACTTTCGTATAAGAATGCGTTCCACTAATATTCGTTCTTTCTTTCGCATAGCCTTACGTGATTCAGTGTTGCTAAATATTTTTTTGGAAAAATTAATCGCGAAATAAGGCAAAAAAGCGCCAAATGTCTAATTTAAACGCGAAAAAGCAGCAGTGGCTCTGTCTCAACTGACATTTCAGTTGTAAACAAACAAATTGTAAATAAACAAACAAAATAAAAACTCTAGTGATTGTGTTCAAACTATTTGTGCTCTTAGAAAATAAAAAAAGAATATTTCCGTAGCCCTATTTTTTATGGATGATGTGGAGGAGGTTCAAAATGTGCCACGGAGGCATTTAAGAGATGATTCGAATTTATTTGAAGTACCTAACAACCAGTAAGTATGATTGTATTTTTACATTTTTGAAATAATAAAAAATAATAATAATTTTTTCAAGGTTTGTGGCCAATTTTCGTGTGTCGAAGGAAGTTTTCGGGCTCTTTTGGATATGATGGAAGAGAAGTGGGTGCCCGGTTGCAGAACTACCCAAATCCGCCCCGATTTAAAACTTCTTCTGCTGCTTCCAAAAATTGGCACTCCTCTGGCGAACACAGGATTCTCCTCCATATACTAGTGCCCGCAGCTGTGTAGTTGATGATTTTTTCGTGCTGGAATTGAGAAAATAAAAAAATATATATTTGTTGCTCCTTCTCAATCTCAACGAAATTAGTGCCGTTGTCGCTTCGCATTACCAAAGGCACACCTCTACGATTGATAAAATTCCATATGCATAATAAACAGCTATCACTGGAAAGATCGGCGGTTATCTCCAGGTGAACAAGGATTTCTTTTTTCACAGCCGACGTATAGTAACAGTCACTGATCCGAAGTAGTCTAGGCCAGTGTAATTGGATGGACGGACATATGGCGATACACAACATATTGGGAAAAGACCCATCTGAGGCTGACATGGCTTCGCTCTTCGAATTCGGCAAAACTCACATCTTGACTGTATGCTGTGGAGTAAACGTACGTTGAGTACCCAAAATTGCACATGTGCTTCAGCATTGACTGTCGACTTATGTACCAAAATTTGCTATGATACGATTCAACAAGTAGACGTGTGAAAGGGTTGATTCGGCAGGATGATCGAATTTTTGGAATAGCTCGGCAGACATGTAGAATTCTTCTATTTGCTGTCCTTGCTCACATGACCATGTAGACCAATATCGGCAATTTCATCAGCATATACTTATTTATGTACATTTGGGCATATATATTGTTTGACCAATACATCTTCTTCTGCTGAAAGTTTACCCTTTAATAGATCAACCTTTTGGCGTTTGCGACAAAAATTTTATTGGTACCCATGGTATCTGGAACCACCGAATCACATTGACGACCCACGAGGACGACATGTTTTGATCTCAGCTCAGAGTCGTTGGTATCCAGAACGTTTTCAATATTACTTTCTAAAACCATTGAGATTCAGGAAGACTGGCCTGTTTTTCCACCATCCGTCTCATCGACTGGATTGCGGATAGCCATAATGTCCGCTTGCTAATATATGTAAATCAACTTTTCTGTTTAAAAATTCCTTAAGATAACACCGTGGAAATTCATCCAACATGTTTAATTCAGCTAACTATAACTTCAATCACTCCATAGCCGAATTCAATAATTTTTGCATAAATATTTTCGAAGAAACCACAAATTCACAAACAAATCCGAATGGGTCATAGATTGAAATGTTCAAAGAGAGCATCTTACGTTTTGTAGGAATCTTTGAAAAGCCTAAAATGGATTTATCAACTTTATGTAAACTCAAGCGGAAGCAGAAAACATCTGGATTTGGCAACCAGAGTATGCTAAAATCCTTTAAGCACAATTTTTATTAAAAAAACTCACCACGGTTTTCCACAATATTGAGTTACTCTATTGGATTTTGAAATAATATTTCTCAACACAAAACCTCCAACACTAGCATGCGGTGACTCTATCACAAACATATTGGCATTCATATTTTTCACATATTGGGCTATAGTTGGCGAACAAGTTGCCAAATATCTTACATTGTAAAGTATAAGTGTCCACTCTTTTATTTTTATCTCCTTCTCAAAAGAAATCGTTGGCAATCTTGATCTTCTTTGACGATTTAGACTTGATGGAGCATTCCTTTTATATCCCCACAGACGGCTATTGGAACTCCACGAAATTTAAAAATAGTTGAAATTAAGGAATTGTTTATGTCTGGTCCACTTGAAAGGCACATATTCAACAACACATTCATCACTTCGGCTGCAGCATCAAACAAACAATCCTAATTCCTTCTAGGTTCGCATTATTAACAAATGGGGCGGATAAAAAACGCGTTGTGGACTTAAAGGTAATTCGTTCACATCAACTTTTCTGCAAGAGCACTTTGATATGTAGTCATTTATTTTCTCACAATATGCCCTGCCATAATCCCTATACCGGTCCATTTTATTTTCCACACTGCATCATCCAGTTCATTCGTTGCAATCAATTTTCGGTTCTATCTGCTGGAATTGTTGTTTATGACCCGAAGAAAGTTGCAACCAAAGACCGCGCTTCTCATATAAAAATGTGTGCCCCATTTTACTTTTTTCCGGATGTTGGGACATAAACAACAACGCCCAATCTTGTTGTGGTTAAAATTGATCCAGCGCCAAAAAGGCAGCGGGCACATTTAGCAGTGGATCTGTTAAAAAAGAAATGGGGTAAACTAATGATTGGTTTCACATTCGTGCAGTTACAAATTTTTTTCGACACATCAACATTATTTGTTACCCATTTTTCCAAATTACATGATTGAATGGGTAATGACAAATTTCGGAGTGATATATACATTTTTCATCACATATCTTCAGTCTTCTCTTCTCATATCACTTATTATTAGATCCACTACTTCAGAATCTTCCGTCATTGAATGCTTATTTAACCACTGTAGGGATAATTGTGTCTTGTTCCCGTTGAGTTTCAGGTCTTTGGCAATTCCCCTGTCTAGCATTGTTACATTTGCACCGTCATCTATGAAGGCATATGTGGTAATTATTTTACCTTTAGTGTACATCTAATGTTAAAACTGTTTACATTTTGTAATTGACCTACAGACCCCGTCGCACATAACACAATTATTGATGGCGACACAAGCATTATTGTGGCTGGGCTGTGTTGGTTGGCGGCGATTAGTGTTAGCAACTCGTCGTAATGTTTGCAACCATGCCCTGAAATCTAAAATAGAAGGCGATTCATTTAAATAAAGACATGGGGTGAAACCATCCCATTTGTCGGTTTATTGGTAATTTTGCCATGAGTTCACTCAGTGAAGATAGGTTGTGTTAAGTAAGTTCTCCTCCTGCGTTTTTGTTTTAAAAATTATGCTATATTTCATGGCGAAATTTATTAGGACATTCAAATCGTCATTAGGTAATGAGCTGCTTGGCAGAGCTTCCCAATAAAAGTTCAACTGTCTCTCGGGCTTTGCCTTTTAAAGCGTCTCTTAACGTCATAATATTCTGCAGGTTGCTGTACATAAACTCATTTGTGGTGCTGCAAAAGTACTCGGAAAATGTTGGACATTCTTCTGACAGCCCTGAAAATATTGGAAGATGATAAATTTCTTTTTAATTCGACGTAATTAGCGGTTTCCCTGTGTTGGCATGTATTGCATTACGGAAAAGCAAGAAAATCAGCGTTTGCGGTTTAAATTTTTTGCAAAGTAATTAAATAATGTGGTATTAAATAATTTCTATAGCAATGGGTAAGATCAAATCTGTACATACATATACACAAATAAAATTGTTAACGACAACCATTTTACTGGCTTCGTAAAATAATATAATTATATAATGTATTAATGAACAATAAAGTCCTTGTGACAAAATAAAAAAATTAAAATTAAAGATTTTAAAGACTTTTTGGTGTGAAAGGTAAACATTTTTCCATTATTTTTTCGAAAAAGGAAAAAAATAATATATAAAAGCTTGAAGGTCTGAACATTTAGTACATTTCCGTCCATCTGAATCTACCACCTATGATAATTCTATATAAACTGTTTGGTACCAAAATAAAATTTTAATTGTCTCAATAATTTAAGTGTGTAGCCCAGTTATGAATAACAGCCTGTTCCACGATCTCGAAAGAAAATTTGTGCGAACGAAGGCTACTCACTCACTTTCGTATAAGAATGCGTTCCACTAATATTCGTTCTTTCTTTCGCATAGCCTTACGTGATTCAGTGTTGCTAAATATTTTTTTGGAAAAATTAATCGCGAAATAAGGCAAAAAAGCGCCAAATGTCTAATTTAAACGCGAAAAAGCAGCAGTGGCTCTGTCTCAACTGACATTTCAGTTGTAAACAAACAAATTGTAAATAAACAAACAAAATAAAAACTCTAGTGATTGTGTTCAAACTATTTGTGCTCTTAGAAAATAAAAAAAAGAATATTTCCGTAGCCCTATTTTTTATGGATGATGTGGAGGAGGTTCAAAATGTGCCACGGAGGCATTTAAGAGATGATTCGAATTTATTTGAAGTACCTAACAACCAGTAAGTATGATTGTATTTTTACATTTTTGAAATAATAAAAAATAATAATAATTTTTTCAAGGTTTGTGGCCAATTTTCGTGTGTCGAAGGAAGTTTTCGGGCTCTTTTGGATATGATGGAAGAGAAGTGGGTGCCCGGTTGCAGAACTACCCAAATCCGCCCCGATTTAAAACTTCTTCTGCTGCTTCCAAAAATGGCACTCCTCTGGCGAACACAGGATTCTCCTCCATATACTAGTGCCCGCAGCTGTGTAGTTGATGATTTTTTCGTGCTGGAATTGAGAAAATAAAAAATATATATTTGTTGCTCACATATTAAATTGCATTTATTATTTTTACTTACATTTTTGTTTCCATTTTCAATCAAGCAATGTTTATGTTAAAACAATTTTCCTTAATTGTTATTATACGATAGCAAACACACAAGTGACTGATTTTGACATTTGTGTTCGCATGCGTACGAAAGAAAAAAGATAGTGGAACGCAAAATTACACAGAAATGCTTACGTTTTCGTTCGCTTTGATTTTCGTGCAAATTTTCGTTCTGATGGATTTCAGTGGAACAGAAATCAGCTGTTTGTCGTGTAAAAGTTGTGCGAACGTGTTTTTTTCGATATCGTGGAACTGGCTGTAAATGTTACTTTTCTAGTCAAATATTTAAAAACAAATGTAAAGCTAGAATAAACTTAATGTTAGAGTAACATTTAAAGCTACAACATTTATATTAAGCATTTGCATTACATACTTTAAGGCGCTTCACACAATTTGTATAACAATTTGGTATAGTATTAATAAATTCATAGTATAAGTGTAATATAAAGTTATATTTGTATATATATGTAAAATTGTAGTATTTTACTAGTGACATTGTCGCCAGTACAAGTGCAAAAGTATACCTAAACCAATGTAATTTCCTATAGATATTTAACATAGGCATGTCATAGGAAAAATACCAGTAGATTATGGTTATATTGACTAAGTAGCTCTTTTGGGACAATATGGCGACATTTGAACCAAATAGTCACTAGAAAAAGATTAGATCTTTGGAATTTATATGGTGCCGTTTGAACCATACAATCACTATATTGGGTTTCCAGAGCTATATGTAGACATTGTAGACAAATAAATACTAGAAGACGATGAGTTCTTTTGAGATCATAGGAAAATTCTTGTGATAGAATAAGCATTTAAAAACGTTACATTTTTAATGTATTTATAATTCACAAAAATGAAATAAAGCACAGTTATCTACAAACTATATTTAATTAAATTTAATCCATCTACAAACAGTTTTGTTTTCTCCTGAATGTTGATGATTCTGCAAAGAATTGGCCACAATTGCACCCGAGCTTGCTTTTGAACAGTGACATTCCATCGATATTTATACCAAGTTCGACTTCTTCCTTCTTCCTTTAAAACACGCGTTGTTTGGATGCGATCTACAAAACAAATGACTTAAAAATGTTATATAAGCATTTTTATATTTCAATACTTTTATATTTTTATTTTCAATAGATTTCAATGACAATGAAAAAACTGTCGACACTGTCATTAAAAATACACTGAATCAATGTCCCTAACCAAACTCTACTCGCAAATTGTTGATATCTGAACTAGTACAATTGTCTATAGAAATTAAGTGGTAACATAAGGTACACATGGTTCTTTGCTCGCAGCAGGGGTTTTTACTAGCGAAGATAACGCTCAGTCTGGACACACTTTCTGTTGTATAACAGTGTATAACAGATATGCGGAAAATAAAAACATAGTTCCGAAATAAAAACGATTTTTGAAGATGCGAAACAAAAATGCCATCTTTTTTAAATTTGTAGTTACTTTTGTTTGTACCCGATAAGGAACATAATACTTGCACTATTTTTAGTTTTTGCACAGTGGGGCTCGATGATAACTTTTGAAAAATCGGAAAAGTCAATGTTTCACTAATTTTCCACGATCGATTTGACCAAGTAATATCGTTTCGGAAATCTCTTGGAACAGTGGGCTATGTAATTTTCGTCCATTAAAAATAATCGATATGATGACGAAAGTTTTTTTTTTTTTTTGAAACACCTCTAAAGTACTTATTTTATTTTTTTATGCTTATAATTATGTTTCTTATCGGGTACAAACAAAAATAACTACAAATTTAAAAAAAAATCATTTTTGTTTCGCATTTTCAAGAATGGTTTTTATTTCGCATCTACAAAAATCGTTTTTATTTTCCGCATATATGTTATACATGTTATAACATCTGTTATATAACAGAAAGTGTGTCCAGACTGAGCGTTGTCTTCGCTAGTTGAAATCGTTTTATCTTCACGCACATCAATTTCCTTCCACACTATTTCTTGCACTGCAGACGACAGTGGAAAATAAATATCCTTTTCGTACAGTCGCCTAAAAGCTGGTCCAAGTTTAAATTCTTGTTTCATAACAGGACACAGAAAGAAACTGATTTTCTTTATACTTATGTCATATTCCAGTTTTATTATTATTTTTCGTAAAATCCTGTGCCTTTGTCCTAATGCAGTACTCACCTTTTGGGATCTGGCAATATCTATTTTCATGAACTACCAAATGGGTAGTAATGGCAGAAACCTCGATTGTTTCTTCACATTCATCAAATCTATTCCTATTTCTTTTCTTGGGAACCATTTACCCGTAGGGGTTTATTGAAATTTGGAGATTATTTTATTGCAAACTCTAAGCATTTCACTCTAAGCTGTTCAAGGGATGAAACAGGCATCGAGTACACTATACTTGAGAGATTGTTTCTTAAATTCATCTTGAACAAAAGTATCATCTCCAATTCTGAGACAAGTCTTTCCAACATTGACCGTTTTGAATTAATATCGTGGAAAATTTCACAACCGCTTTCATAAGGCAATTGTTCCTCATTTCTTTGAATAATGTACGTCCGATTTTGCAAAGTTATAGAAGGTTATGTTTTAAAACATTATTGCTTCTCTGTTGTAGGATGTAAAATATTATTGCTTCTCTGTTGTAACCAGAATCACAATAAAATATGGAACTCGTTTAAGATGTCGAACCAATTTTCTTACTAAATTATCCACCTCTACTGGATGAGTTGGTGGATTCGGCTAAATATTTGGTTCTAGATAGTTTTGTCTCAATATGGCCCCGACACTAGTACTGGGATTGGATTATTTATGGTCCCAAATAGATTCCCAAATTATGGATTAGCATTATCATTGATGTTTGACATAGCTGTCTTTTTGTTGACTTTTGACAATGGCGAGGAAATTGACGTGCGACTTAAATCAAAAGTTAAATATCGCATTTTTTTTGTTCTTCTTTCCCAGATTTTCTTAAGTTTTATTTCCTGTGTTTTTGTTAATCAGACTTTAAATTTTTTTCATTGTTAATTTAAAATTTGATTAATATTCTATCTACTACATATATTAAATGTACTAGCTAAAAAAACAATAAATACTTGACCCTTTGATCCTAATAAACATCCCAAAGATCCCAAATATTAAAAAACAAATGTAAAGCTAGAATAAACTTTATGTTAGAGTAGCATTTAAAGCTACTTGTTCAACATTTATGTAAAGCATTTGCATAACATACTTTAAGGCGCTTCACACAATTTGTATAACAATTTAGTATAGTATTAATAAATTCATAGTATAAGTGTAATATAAAAGTTATATTTGTATATATGTGCGTGAAGATAAAAACGACCCTGCAGCGAACATCTTTAGTAAAATTGTAGTATTTTACTAGTGACATTGTCACCAGTACAAGTGCATAAGTATACCTAAACCAATGTAATTTCCTATAGATATTTAACATAGGCATGTCATAGGAAAAATACCAGTAGATTATGGTTATATTGACTAAGTAGTTCTTTTGGGACAATATGGCGACGTTTGAACCAAATAGTCAAATATGGTGACGTTTGAACTATATAATCACTATATTGGGTTTCCTGAGCTATATGTAGACATTGTAGACAAATAAATACTAGAAGACGATGAGTTCTTTTGAGATCATAGGAAAATTCTTGTGATAGAATAAGCATTTAAAAACGTTACATTTTTAATGTATTTATAATTCACAAAAATGAAATAAAGCACAGTTATCTACAAACTATATTTAATTAAATTTAATCCATCTACAAACAGTTTTGTTTTCTCCTGAATGTTGACGATTCTGCAAAGAATTGGCCACAATTGCACCCGAGCTTGCTTTTGAACAGTGACATTCCATCGATATTTATACCAAGTTCGACTTCTTCATACTTGTCCAAAATGAGACCAACTTTTCGTAGTTGTGTTTCTATGCCAATATGACAATACATTTCAGGAGCGACATTTCTCGTTAACATATGCTCTGCCCACCTCTAGTGAGCGGGATGTCCAGACCTTCTTCCTTTAAAATTGATAAAAGATTTTCCAAACATTTCTTTGAAAGATTGGTTTCCATGCACCACTTTTTTAGTTTATCCCGCAATGTTAATTTCGAAACTCTAAAATCGTCCATTCTATTTTCACGAAATCATTCACAAAATATCCACCGTCTGCATTGCATCGTATTGCAAACTTCTGTTTCTATACAATAACTTTTGTTTTTTAATTAGTCTTTTTTTATTTCTTCTACTCATTTTGTTTATATATTTAAAGCATAATCACCTGTTTAACAATAAAACACAAAAACGAATTATTTGCCGATTTTGATGGGATCTACAAAACAAATTACTTAAAAATGTTATGTACGCATTTTTATATTTCAATACTTTTATATTTTTATTTTCAATAGATTTCATTGACAATGAAAAAACTGTCGACACTGTCATTAGAAATACACTGAATCAATGTCCCTAACCAAACTCTACTCGCAAATTGTTGATATCTGAACTAGTACAATTGTCTATAGAAATAAAGTTGTAACATAAGGTACACTCGATTCTTTGCTCGCAGCAGGGGTTTTTACTAGCAAAGATAACGCTCAGTCTGGACACACTTTCTGTTGTATAACAGTGTATAACAGATATGCGGGAAATAAAAACGATTTTGTAGTTCCGAAATAACGATTTTTGAAGATGCGAAACAAAAATGTCATCTTTTTTAAATTTGTAGTTACTTTTGTTTGTACCCCATAAGGAACATAACGCTTGCACTATTTTTAGTTTTTGCACAGTGGGGCTCGATGAAATCCGAAATTCCGAAATCGGAAAAGTCAATTTTTCACTAATTTTCCACGATCGATTTGACAAAGTAATATCGTTTCGGAAATCTCTTGGAACAGTGGGCTATGTAATTTTCGTCCATTAAAAAATAATCGATATGATGACGAAAGTTTTTTTTTTTTTTTTGAAGCACCTTTAAAGTACTTATTTTATTTTTTTATGCTTATAATTATGTTCCTTATCGGGTACAAACAAAAATAAATACAAATTTAAAAAAAAAATCATTTTTGTTTCGCATTTTCAAGAATTGTTTTTATTTCGCATCTACAAAAATCGTTTTTATTTTCCGCATATATGTTATACATGTTATAACATCTG